AATGGTTCAAAATAAGGGACGACACCAGATAGTTTTTGTAGCTTTCACATAAATACAAATACAAATCACTTCCTATTAAGTGATTTTTTTTTCATCAGGTCACATTACAATGTCTTCTTTATATAACACTACTGTGCTTAGTATGAACTTATCTGGCTTTTCCAAACTGCAAAAATAAAGGAGTTGTTCATTATAAATGTGTATGTGTACTGTGTAAAATCCTATCCATTACACTTCTGCTAGAAAGGAGTACAAAGCATTTTTTTCTTCAACAAAATGTGTAGTGTAACGCTATCTTTCTAAATTAACCTACCACTCATAGTCACTGCACTCCTGATATATCACATAATATGAAATTACTTTGAGATCTGTCAAAACTGACTTTTCTACATGACCAGCTATCGAAATGAAAGGACATTTGTTGATTTCAGATACAAAAACGTTTCTCGCTAAAAAGTTTCAATGGTAATTCAAATCATTTTTATAACTAATTTAACAGCTCAAAAATGAAAACATGAACGAGCATACAATTAATTTCAAGACAAGTTAAAAGCTCAGTTCTGCTGATTTAATGCCAGTTAACAGTCAACAAACTCTCACGATTCTACAGCAGCTCCTCATCTTCAGTTCTACAAATAATGACGATGTGTGTTCTTTTGTACTATTAGATCCACCACTAGGGGATTTAGTACTAAAAAAGTATATAAAAACAGACGAAAACTTATTCTAAGTATAAAATAAGGTTACATTATTCATGTAGTATAATTACTCAAGCTACTTTATTAATTTGTGCATTTTTAAAAGGCAACAGAATAGCATATCAAACTATCCCAAGGGCTGTCACTGATCAAAAGTGTTAAAAATGTAAGCTGGCTGGTCATAAATTTACAGATTTTGTAACTGTACACCATAAGAAAATTCGCAGAAAAATACCGTCTTATCATTCTATCTCATATTTAAACACTGTATTGTCCAACTTATTCAAATAGATGTTTGAGTAGTGCAAATGAAGAGAAACTTAAGATTTAAAAGCTGGTTTTGGATGGGAAATCAAAGATCAAACATAATAGAAATGCTGTTCATAAGAGAGAAAACATTCAATAACATTTATACTCTAGCCAATAAGATTATCAAGATAATGACTCACAAATCAGTTTCAACTATTTCACTAGTTGTAAATACAGCACTGCTTGCAACATATGCCCAAAAACTCAATCACTGCCCTGTAAAATACGTCCAACATTAGCAAAATTCATATAGTTCTGTTCTGGTATAAACCCTTTCGAAAGCTAAGTGTACTTGGATTCGTTTAAAAAATTCTCAAATAAATATAAGATAGAGGTTTTTCAGGTTAAAGAGAAACGTCGAAAGCAACTTTTGATAAAGTAGTTTCTTAGAATATCAGAACGTTTAATAGAAATACAGTTGTAATTTCAAATCCCAATTCTTCCATCAAGGGTTAACTTATTTGTTTTTTTATAGGAAGCTATTTGATTCCTGATAACTTTTGTTCCTCTTTGCATCTTTGATACAAAAAGCACGTATCCAGGTGATTGATATGAAATGCCTAAAGGTGTAATTGATATTATTGTTTTTAGTGCAGAGCTAAACAATGTATTACCTGCACACTGTCCGCCATTTTACAGTTGTAGGTACCTAAACTTACCGCTGACCCATTTCGGGGACGTTTAGGTGTGTCGCACTACGTAGTCATATCAGTAAACCATTACGTGAACAGGGTAAAGAAAATTTTGTAAGTGAACTAATATAAAAGTATAGAAATTTGGAATTATTGGGCAATAACGTATTTGACAGTTTAACTACGGAAATTATACTTTGAAATTTATATTAAGTTGTATAATAAATTTAGTTTTGCACTAATGTAAACTTAAAGTCACCAGTATGCTTCGTGGCTATTTTCAATGAATCAATTTCGCATATTTTATTAGAACTTGTTTAAAAATGTATTTAGAAGTTTTCATTTTCTGCTTGTCAAAGAAAAAAAAGGTTGATCATATTGCTTATTGAGGGAACATGTCTCACACTTCTAAAACCTTTATTTGGTTTATTTATAAGTTTCTAAAATTTCTAGACATGGACTGAAGGTTTGGACTAATGCATAAAATAAGTAATAAAATTATATAGTGAAGTGTGATTGTTTTTAACACTAGACAATACAGTTGATTTATTTCCTCAGAACATTCTCTTTTTAATTTATGTTTTAATTTTTTCATCTCAGCTTTTGAACAGTATAATGATATAAGCCC